GATTAAAAGTTATTTTTAGTTCTCTTGAATCCCAGTGTAATAGCTTTTCTTACCTTTTACATTATTTCTCCATCGATATTTATCTAATAAGTTTTATCTCTTAGAATTACAAATTTTAAGAATACATTTTGATATTAACTTCTAAAAATTTCATATTTGAGCTTCTGCTAGTATGTATGCACAGGATGATTGAAATTCATTATAATTGCTATTTTTTAATTTTCATTTATTCAACAAGTTCCATGCGTCAGAGATATTGTTCTAGGTACTGAGTACATTACTGAATGAGTTGTCTAGTTTCCCACCTTTAGGAAAGTTTCATTATAGTGACACAAGACAATCAGTGAGCAAAAGAATAATCTAATATATGGTGGAACAAAAATAAATCAGTATCTACTTGGGTAGTAGGGGCAGTGGTTGGTAAAGGAATGTGAGGAAACTATCTTGGATGATGATAATTTCTATAGGGCTTTGGATCAGTCAGGTACGGTATATAGGTATATATTGTCCTTTAGTACTATTTAAGATTTGTGTGTGTTGTTTGTTTAAGGAGTCTAAGGTGTTAACTTCTACTTGCAGCCATTGCTTCCCCTAAGTAAGTTGTCAAGGGGCTAACTTCCTGCCAAATGCTATGGAAGAGTTGCATGTTTAGGAAGAAAAGATGATGCAGATTTTTAAATACTAAGAAGGATCCAATCATAGTTTGATTTGTGATTGGATCTGCATTGTATATTAGATTTCTTCAGGGCAGAAATTTTGACTTGGTATTATGAGAATGTTAGTGGAGTCTTAGTCCCAAGAGAGGCCTGACTTCAGGAGTTCTAAGAGACCAGGTCCAGCTACTCATCACGGAAATTAAATGGAAAAAGTATTGGTGGAAAACAGAAAAGAATTTATTCAGTGTTGTCATGATGCAAAGACCAAGGGGTGACCAAATATCCTCACTCTTACAACAAGGGTTTTGGGATTATGTAGGGAAAGAACAGGGGGGAAGGGATAAGAAGTAAACATTGCTACATTGTCTTCAATCTGTGACCTGGTTATTGTCTCAGGTCTCTTTCTGTGAGTTCCTACTAGCTCTGGGGAAGTCATTCTACACTTGAGGAGGCTATTCAGGTCCCTCATAAGATGACTGCTCCTGCTTAGGAGGGAGTCTTGGCTGCTATCATGAGGTAATTGCTCCCTCTTAGTATAGCAGTACCATCATGGGGTGGTCTGCCTGCGAGACTTTGTAGTTGGATTTTTTGTAGTTTGGATTCTTGAAAATATTTTAACTATTTTCATCTTGGTGTCTTCAGATTTGGATAAGGATGAGACAGGCTAGGTATATTTAAGGTTAGTCAACCTTGTATTACTAGTTTTTAGACAGAAGTACCATAAGTGGTTAACCTGTGTACATGAACAGCTGAACAGAAATCTGACTCAAAGTTTAAGTAGTAAAGATGCACAGTGAAGGCAGAGTTGCTCTGCTTTTATCCTTTTAATTGCTTATTAGGCATCTGTAGGTCCAAGTGAGGAGTTACTGGTTTTAGTGAAAACAGCCTCTAATTCCCTGTACAAGACCTGGTTCTGTATATGGATGGTCAGGTAGCTTGAGGCAGTCACAAATTGTTAGGCAAGGAAGGGTGACTAGAGTGTGTTTCCAGGGTGTGAGGATGTGAAGAATCATTAAACAAAACTGCAAACCAAATTTAAAAAACTAGCAAGAAATCTAGTGCAAAGAAAATCAATATACTTAAAAATTGAACCAAGAATTTTCTCTAGATAAAAGTTTAAAGAGCAAATCTTTAATTGAAATACAAAGTACTTTTAAGTGTACAGCTTGATGCATTTTTTCATTTGGTGAACAAATATGCCTATGTTAACCATTACAGATCAAGAAATACCACATGGTATTAGCAGCACTCCAGGGACGTTCTAAGCTTCTTGTCAGTCTCCATGCCCCTCACTATCCTGGGCTTGCCAAGCTCACAGTTGTTCTAATTTTTGTCACTTGTTCCAAAGCAGTTAAAGGATAATGGGTAATGAATAAGGAATAATGCTCATGGGTAATGAATAGTTCTCCTAAAACAAAGCTAACTTTTGAATGCATAGTTGCTGAGAATTTCTTGGAATAGGGAAACATATAGACTGAAACCTTTGGATTAAAAGTATATTGTAAATTTCAATCAAGCTAAATAGATTCAACCTATACAACAATGATTGCAAAGAAATTGCAAAATTCTAACTGTAGGTAGAATTTTGAGAGTAAGGATAAAGTTGTAACTTAAAAAATCTACAGACACTGAATATTCACCCAAAGATATGTTTCAGTAGGAAGACATGAATACAGAGGAAGGCACAGGATTCCAAAACAATGGTTAATACAAAATGATGTAGTTATAGGAAATTTAGTCTTCAATACAAAGAATTTATTTTAACTCACTTTTTTTCTTTTGAAGAAACCAACTCTTCATTGATTTTTTCCGTTGTTTTTCTAATCTCTCATTGATTTTTGCTCTGGTCTTTATTATTTTGTTCCTTCTAACTATGGACTTCATTTATTTTTATTTTTCTAGTTCCTTTAGTTGTAATACTAGGATTTTTGGACATCTTTCTTCTTTTTTGAGGTGTTTGTTGTCATAAACTTTCCTCCCAGAATCACTTTTGCTATATTTAATTGACTTTCTATAATTAAAGAGACAATATAATAAATTATAGGACATATTTTAAACTTCTTTAAAGTTTTGTGTATTAATTTGAAGATGATCTTCAAAAATCTTGTTTTTTAGAACTACTTTTACTATATTTAATTGACATTCTACAATTAAAGAGAGTGTAAAAGTTACAGGATATATTTTTAAAATTATGTATCTTAAAATTCTTTAAAGTTTTGCATATTCATTTGGAGGTGAGCTTCAAAAATTTGTAATTTTGTATCTGATCCAAAAGTTTCTGAATTTTTTGTTTTATTTTCCATACTCAGTTTCATTAGCTATTATTTGAATAACTAAGGATTAACTCAGTATTTTCTATAATAAAATCTCTGTAGTTGAATAGTAATTTCAAGTTGTAATTTGCTCATTATTTTTCTTTCCTTTATATCTATAGTACTTAAAATAGTGCTTGACACATAGAAAATGCTTTAAGTTTGCTGTCATTTTCATTTCCTTGCTATCTGCCAATGATTACACCCATGTGGAGCATTGTCAAATTTACCTCTCTAGTCATGAATTCTTCTAAATTAATTTTATGTTTTGGTGACCAGCTAGATTCCAGTATTTGCCCAACAATATTTTTAAGTGAAAATGTATACAATGTGTACTTATTATGATTTTCACCTTCCAATGCCAGGGGCAATTTTCTTCTCACTTCCTTATTTCTATTGTTTTACAGATATCCTTACTTTACACACTGTCCATCACTTCTTCTGCTTCTTCCAAATTCAGTAGTCACCAGGGAACATTAAGTCTCGCTGTTACATTTCTTCTCATCATCCAGATGTTGCAGTTCAAAATCTTGCTACTGCCTGGACTGTTGCTTCAGTGTTCTCTTATAATTGTTCATCACTTCCACCTTTCTAATTCCTAATTCATTGTCTGTAGATAAAATCTATATTCTTTTGGTCTGATATTTAAGCCTTCATTTCCTTACTTCTGTACTGTATTGGCTAGGATTGCATTCATTTGCAGGTAATAAGATATCTGATGATAGACACTTGATCCTGACATTGATTTAGCTAGCTAAGCATATCAGGTATATATTCTCTTGGTCTTTCCTTTATGGTTGCCTCATGGTATTGTTGTGTTTTGAGACTGTCTTTCTATGTAAACAGTTCAGGCTGGCCTTGAACTCACTATGTAGGCCTTTAGCTTGCAATGATTCTTCTGCCTCAGCCTCCCAAAGGATCACAGGCATGCACAACCATACCTGGCCTGCTTGTGGTTTTGGGATAACTGCCCTATCCTAAATTTTTACTTAGATTCAGGCAGAAAGAAATGAAGGGAGAAAAACAACAAAAGCATGTCAGTTAGCTTAGTTTCCTTTTAAAAATGATCCTCAAAGAATCACTCAAAACTTCTACTAAATCTCATTTGCAGAAACTGGTTTATATAGCTATCCACCTTGGGGGAATGTTTTGTTGGATACTTAGCTGTGTTTAAGAAAACTGGGCTTATGTATTAAGGAAGAAGGAGAAAATGCATGCCAGCTGGGTAACTAGCATTCTTGCCAAAAATATCCATTATATTTTTCATTTTTTCCTTAATGGTATAACTTCACATGTACTTTAATTTAGCCCAATAAATTATCAAACATTTATTATACTTTTCTAATCTTTTTTTTTTTTTTTGGTCTTTTTCATTTTTATCGGTACCGGGGATCGAACTCACGACTGCCTGCTTGCAAGGCAGGTGCTTATGCCGCCGAGCTAAATCCCCAGCCCCGACTTTTCTTTTTTTTTTTTTATCGGTACCAGGGATCGAACTCACGACTGCCTGCTTGCAAGGCAGGCGCTTATGCCGCTGAGTTAAATCCCCAGCCCCTCAGCCCCGACTTTTCTAATCTTTAGCACAGTTCTCTCTCTTGGAATGTCCATCCTTTTTTGTTCAATTAAATCCAATCTATTTTTCAAGGTCAGTTTTAAGTTTAACTTTTGACAAAGCTTACTAGAATATTCCAGCTTAAAATATTATTTTTCCCCTGTAGATACCAGTAAGCAATTGTTAGAGTAATTCATTTGTTGAGTAATAGTGTTTCTGTGTGAGATTTTTTTTCTGTTTTCTATAACAGCTTTTAATGTTCTCTCATATTACATATTTACATTCTTAGTAAAGTTGTTAGCTGGGTGGAATTTTATGATTGTCCACTGGAATTTGTAATCTTGATTTTTTGCACTGTGCTGTATACAAAGTAGTACACAATATTTATTCAGTTAATGTCATTAGCAGAGTTACTATTGTCAAGAAGATTTCTTTGAATATTTGGAATGCCTTATCAATTTGTAACTTTATTATTTTCAGGCCAATGTTCTAAAAAAGACTGCATGGAAATGGCTTGCCTAATGATGACAGAAATGGAAGCTACATCCACATTTCCAGTACATCAGAATGGTGATATTCCTGGAAATACTAATTCTGTGAAGCAAGTCGATCCAGTCCTTCAGGTGTATCTTTATCATTCCCTTGGGAAAGCTGAGGGAGATTATCTGAAGTTTCCAACTGGAGAGTATGTTGCAGAAGAAATTTGTGTTGCTGCTTGTAAAGCCTGTGGTAAGTATTAAAAATCAGCATAGGTCTAGTTTTAGTTTTTGGCATATGGAAAGCCAGTTTTTCCAGGAACACTTATTGAAGAGGCTATCTTTCTTCCACAGAACATGTCTGGCCTCTTTGTCAAAGATAAGGTGGCTGCATGTGTTTGTAATTGTCATTGTATCTTCTAATGTATTCCATTGATCTTCAGGTCTGTTTTTATTCCAGTACTGTACTGATTTTATCACAGTAGCTTTGTAGTATCACTTCAAGTCAAGGATTGTGATGCGTCCTCTCTTGTCTTTGTTGCCCAGGATCCCCTTTTTATTCTAGGTCTCTTCTGGTTCCAGATGATTTTTGGGGATTTCTCCAGATCTGTGACTTGAATTGTGATTAGAATAGAATAGAATTGTGATGGGAATAGCATTAAATCTGTATAACAATCTTGGGAGGATGGCGATTTTCACAATATTTGTTCTTTTAATCCATGAATAATTTTCCATTTTCTGTGATTCTCTTGAATTTCTTTTTTCAGTGTTGTAATTTTCACTGAATAGATCTTTTACTTCTTTTGTTAGATTGATTCCTGAAGTATTTCATTTTTCTGGATGCTATTGTGAAGGGTATGATTTCTCCTGTTTCTCTCAGGGACTTTATTGTTTGCATACAGGAATGCTATTGATTTTTGAGTGTTAACTTTGCATCCAGCTACATTATTGAATTTGGTTATTACATCTAGAAGTCTTCAAGGGAGTTTTGGGGGTCTTCTATGTAGAGTATCATGTCATCTGCAAATAATGGTAGTTTAACTTCTTCCTTTCCTATCCTTATTCCTTTTATTTGTCTCTTGTCTAATTGCTGTGACTAATGTTTCCAACACTACATTGAATAGGAGTGGTGATAATGGACATCTTTATCTTGTTTCTGATTTTAGAGTGATAGCTTTCAGTTTTTCACCATTTAATTTGATGCTGGCTATTGGTTTGTCATAGATGGCTTTTATCAAGTTGAAGTAGAAACTATCTGTTCGATTTTCCATAGGGCTCTTATCATAACTGAGTGTTGGACTTTGTAAAAAACTTTTTCTGCATGTATTGAAATGATCATGTGATTCTTATCTTTGGCTTTAATAGTATGGTATATTACGTTTATTGATTTGTGTATGTGGAACTACTCCTGCATTCCTGGGATGAATCCCACTTGGTCATGTTGTATAATCTTCTTGATGATTTGCTGTGTTCTGTTTGCCAGTATTTTATTGAGGATTTTTACAGATATGTTCCTTAGGGAGATTGGTCTGTAGCTCTCTTTTTTTAACTGGGTCTTTGTCTGGTTTTGGTATTAGGGTAATACTTGTTTCCAGGAATGACTAAGGGAGAATTGCTTCCTTTTCTATTTCATTGAAGAGTTTGAGGAGCGTTGGCATTAAGTTTTCCTTGAATTTCTTGTAGAATTCCACAGTGAATCCATCAGGACCCGGGCTTTTCTTTGTTGGTAAGGTTTTAATCACATTTTTAATTTCATTAACTGAAATCAAATTATTCAACAGTTATGTATCTTATTGATCCAGCTTTGGTAATTCATATGTGTTTAGAAATCTGTCCATCTCTTCTATTATCAAACCTGTAAGAGTATAGTTTTTTGAAGTAGGTATTGATGCTCTGTATTTCCACAGGGTCTTTAGTAATTTTACCCTTTTCATTCCTTATTGTTTGAATTTGAGGTTTTTCCCCTTTTTAAAATAAGATTGGTTACAGACTTTTCAGTTTTATTTATTGTTTCAAGGAACCAACTCTTTGATTCTTTGTATTGTTTTCTTAGTGTCTATTACATTGATTTCTGCTCTGATCTTTATTCTTTCCTCCCTTCTTTAGGCTTTGGGCTTGACTTGTTCTTCTTTTTCTAGATGTTTGAGGTGTAGCATCAGGTTGTTTAGTTGTATTCATTCTGTTTTCCTGATGTGTAAATTCAACTCAATGAATTTCCCTCTGAACAATGTGTTCTTTGCATCCCACAGGTTGCGGCACGTGTATTTGCGTTTTCATTTGCTTGCAGATATTGTTTGATTTTTTCTTTAATTTCTTCCATGACCCATTGATTATTCAGAAGTATATTCAGTTTCCATCTGTTTATGAAATTTTTGCAGTTTCTTTTCTTTTTTTTTTTTTTCAATTTTGAAAGTAGTAAAATACAACAAAACAGGACAGAACAAAGCCAATCAAAACAATGCAGTGAAATTGGTGCAGAACTTTAGGGCAGGATACTGGGATAACAGTAATAGGTTCCAAAGTTATCTTGTTATCTTCACAATAATTGTCCATTCAATCAGTTAAAAAATCAAACCAAAAACAGGACATTATAAAACCTATCAAAACAGAATATTGAATAGAGTAAGACAGTTGATCAGAACAAAGCAAAACAGTGAAAACAATATTTACCTTCAAAGAGAAGATAGAATGAAATCCCCCATATTTGCTATATTACATAGGTTATCCTCCCAAGAGGCTCAGACCTCAGGCCTCAGGTTAGCATAATCAGCCCAACAATACACACATTTAGTTGCTTTATGTGCCTTAGCTGCTGTCAACCCCAGCTGTCCTGGACACCTTCCAGTTGCTAAAAATAGGGGGAGGGGGATGGGATGTTTGCTTCTCAGCCCATGTACTGCTAGGCTTATGGGAGACACTGACTTGTTCTCTTACTGGCATGCCTGCTGCTCGCTCATGCCACTGCTTCCTAGGAGAAAGGACTTGTTGCTCTCAAGTTCCAACATGGCTGGATCTCTGGAGATGCCAACCTGTTCTACTGGTGCACCTGCTGTTCACTGGAGTTGCCACTTACCAGGAGGAAGGACTTGTTGCTGTCTTTTTTTTTTTAAATTTTAAAGAGGGTAAAATTAAACATAACAAAACAGAAGAAAACAATGTAAGAGACACAGATTTTAAGGCAAGACAACAGGAGATCTTCACTGTCTATCATATTGTCTTTTTCTTCTAAATAGTTGTCCATATCTTCACACACAATGAATTTATACAAAACAAAATAATATTAAACTGTTCAGAACAGGATGACAAAGGCATTTAAGGTCTTCAAAGGCAGACAATAGAGAAGTAAAAAATGGCTGCCATAATGTCTCTCATTGTCTTCAAAATAGCTATCCATATCTTCATGTATGTTGATATTAATACTAAACAGACTAAAATCACTCTGAACAAAGTATGATAGTATTGCTGGATTTCACAGCATGATGCTATGTAATCACCACTGGATACCTTACTGTCTCTTTTTCTTCAAAGTTGCTGTTCATTTCATCCTGTTTTATACAGTTGATTCTCATAAACTATTTAGGAGAAGTTCTACACGTGTATGAGTCTCTACAAGTATACCTATCCTTTCTGTATTAGAGGGGAAAACAAAACAAAAAACCCCACTAAATTCCTAGAAAAAAATGAAACAAAAAAGACAAATACATAACAGTAGCAAAGAGCCCAAAACACTGACAATATAGGCCTTCAAAGCAAGGTGGTATGAGCATAACTAGGGTTGTTATTTTACATAATGATCTTCAAGAGTTTCTCAGATCACCATACAATAATATGCACAACAATTCCAATCCTATGAATGTTAACTATTTTGTTCTAAGAACTTAAAGAATTTGTAGCACAATCATCTTAGCTATCCTATGGGTGTTCTAGATATTTTTTCTTTTCCCTTCCTTTTTCTTTTTCCTCATTTTCCCTGAGATACTATGTTTTTCCCCTTTTAGCATATTCTTATCCTTTCACTGAATTTATTGAGTTTTTTTGTATCTTATGTACTCTTATCATTTCTTACACTAGGGAGACTATATGGTATTTACACATGTGAGTTTGGTTTATTTCACTTATGAGTGTAGTCTTGAGTTACATCCATTTACTTATAAATATCTCAATGTGATCAGTCTTTGTATTGAATAGTACTCCATTGTATAAAAATACCACATCTTTTTTATCCATTCTTCTATTGATAGGCATTTAGTTTGTTTCCAAGATCTGGCTATTACAGATTGTGCTGCTATAAACATGGGTGCACATATATCACTGTGGTATGATGTTTTCAGCTCTTCTGGGAATATGCCCAGAAGTGGAATAGCTATGTCAAATGGTACTTCCAATGCCAGCCTTTTAAGGAATCTCCAGACTGACCTCCACAGTGGCTGCACCAGTCTGCACTCCCACCTACAGTGCAGAAGAGTTCCTTTTTCCCCACACCCTCTCCAGCATTTATTGTTGGTAGTTTTCTTTATCCTTTCCATTGTTTCTGGAGTGAAGTGAAATCTCAGTGTTGTTTTAATTTGCATTTCTCTAATGATCAGTGATGCTGAACATTTTTTCAGGTATTTATTTGCCATTTGTTTTTCTTCATCTGAGACTGTGTATTCATCTCAGATGCCCATTTTTGGAATGGGTTTTTGAATTTTGGGGATCTGATTTTTTAAAAAATTCTTTATATGTTCTAGACAGAAGTCCTTTGTCTGAGGGACTGTTCACTAAGATTTTTTTCCCAGTTGGGGGTTTTCTTTTCACTATGCTGGAGATTTCTTTTGATATGCAAAAACTCTTTAATGAGACATGATCCTAGTTATTGATTCTGTGAAGATTTCTCATGCAGTTTGATTCTTCTTCATGAATTCTGTGAGGTATTTCTCATGCGATTTGATTCTTGTTCATGAATTCTTGTTTTAGTTATTGATTCTGTGAACTATTTCTCATGTGGTTTGATTCTTGTTCATGATTTCTCTACCTACCCCTATGTCTTCAAGATTTCTACCTGCTTTGTCTTCCAACAGATTTAGTGTTTCTGTTTTAATATTTAGATCTTTGATCCATTTAGACTTTAGTTTTGCGCATGGTGATAGGCATAGGTCTAGTTTTAGTTTTCGTCATATGGAGTGCCAGTTTTTCCTGCACCATTTTTTAAAAGACTGTTTTCTTCTAGTGAACGTGTTTGGCCCCTTTATCAAAGATAAGGTGGCTGAGTGT